TTGGTTGCACTGTGTTGAAAAAGGAGTCCTGAACTGTGGGAGAACATGGCGGACAGATAGCAGCAGCTACGGAGGCTCTCTGAAACACCCAGCTTAGAATTCAGGAATGGTGCTGAGTAAGGAATCATAAGCAAGTGGAGATATGCCCTGCTGACCCAAGAACGAACTGGGCTGAGAGAAACCAACTGGGAATGCAATCCTGGTGTTATAACAGGAACAGAAAAGCCTTAGTGTGAAAGCTGGAGCCCATGCCATTGGAAGCCACGATTTGAGTTTCCCGCCGCCGCAGCTGCGTCTGCATCGGCTCAGCAGGGAGAGAGACGCGCAGAAGCTCTGAGAATGGGAATCAGCTCTGAGAATGGGAATCGGTGAACAGAGTTGAGAGCAGGACGGGCGGGGAGCTGGGCATCCACCTCCAGTGAGTGAGGGAAAACTGGGACTCTTCCACGGTCTAGGAGACTTCAACAGAAGACATTCTGGGACCGGGCAGACTTGCGGGAACAGAGTGCTGTAGTGACTTCAGTCACATATCCCCCTCTCAAGCGGGATTGGTGAGCAGTGCCTAGCCCACGTGATGCTGCTGGCTGAGACCCAGTAGGCTAGCACAGCCCAGGTCCCAGCACCTGAAGGTGACCTGGAGGGGCAGGTCCCGCATAGGCTGCCTGGTCTGCAACTTCCTGGTGCGCTGCGGTGGGTGGGAACACCTAGCCAGCGCGATTCAATCAGACTGTAGCTGACAGGGAAGGAAGCTGGGCCTCCTATATACGCTTGCATATACAAAGAATATGGGAAGAGGCAGCAACAAGAAAGGGTCCTCAGCCCCCAATCCTGAGAAAGAGGCAACAGCAGACACAGCACCAATAGATATAAAGCGCTATCTCAAGAGCCTCATAGACGAGTTCAGGAATGAAGTTATTAATAACCTGAAGCTAGACATAAGCAGAATAGTTAGAGAAATGCTAAGCACCACCCAAGAAAAAACAGATGGTGGAACGGAAGAACAAAAAAACAGGGGAGAATTATTTAATGGAGAAAATAGAGAAAGCATAGAATACGTGAAGCAGGTTCAAAGAGATTACCAGGAAACTAAAAACTCTATCGAAAGCTGGCATAACAGCTTGAAAGAAACTAAGGACAGATTATCTGAACTGGAGGGCAGATTTGTAATATGGGAGCATGAAATGAAAAACTTCTTAAAAATAACAAAAAAACAAACAGCAATAATACAAAGACTAGAAGATGATAAGAGGGTCTATAACTTAAGAATTAAGAACATAAAAGAAGAAGTAGGGACACAAACAAATGAACTACAAAAGCTACTCACAGAAATAATCCAGGAGAATTTTCCTAATTTAGCAAAAGGTAAAGATACTCAGTTGTATGAAGCATACAGGACGCCAGCCACCTACAACCCAAAGAGAGCAACACCCACGCATATAATAATTAAAATTCCAGTAATCCAATACAAGAACAGAATACTAAAAGCCGTCAGAGACAAGAAACAGATCACTTACAAGGGAACACCCACCAGAATTACAGCAGACTTCTCAGCACAAACCATCAAATCACGAAGAGCGTGGGGGGAAATAATTCAAGCTTTGAAAGATAATAATCTCCAGCAAAGATTGATATATCCTGCACAACTATTCCTGGAAATTGATGGAAAAACAAGGTGCTTCCAGGATAAAGAGGAACTAGGGGGATTTGCAACCACCAATTCAACTCTACAGAGAATACTGCAAGATATTCTAAAAAAGAAAAATACGAAGAATCCAGAAGTAGCGGCAGAGAGGCCACAAGGAATGGAGCAGAAAACAAAATGAAGAAGACAAACTGACAACTAATGACAGAAAAAGAGCTCAACAAAAATGAGGCAGAGAAGATTGGATGATAGGAACAGCTATTTTGGAGAAAATGACGTCTTAAGAGGTAATACTGATTTAGTATCATCTTGTTTTGAAGTCTCATCAAGCTTTTGTTCTTCTGTCTCCATTGGTCTAAACAGGTGGTATCTTATTGGATTTTATTATATATGATAGTATAAGCAAAACCTTTTATAGACAAGGAGATTATACAGAAATCATTGTTCATTTTCTGTTAGTTGATTCTAAATATCCTGTAATACTGTCATTCTCTTAAATGGTTTTACATTGTTTTGATATATTTGATGCTACAGTGTATGAAGTTATACTCAAAGATTTCAAGGAAAGAAACAATATGGTAACTACTTTTATGTTGGGATAATCTTGTGGTGAAACACTATTTTGCTTAAATGGTTATGTTTTGATCTGCGCTGATTTGCTGTTATGCCCTCTTTTATCTCAATCTCCATTTTATTATTTACTTTTTTATCCTTTTAATTAAGGGAAAAATAAATTAAAAAATAGCAGGATATATTATAGTAACCCACTTTGACTTTCCATTATCTTGATTTAAAGCCCTGTATTGCTCTCACCATCTTGTTTTGACTGATGTTCCTCTATTCTGTTTTGCTTGATAGTACCAGGTTCGAAAGTTTAGGCAACAGCTGTGAAGATAGTGGGATTCATTATGACGCCCATTCTGGTTGACTATTATCTACTTTTGAAGACCTATAATGTCTCCAATGTTTTGGTTTTGTTGGTTTTGTTCTTTACTGTTTTGTTCAATTTTATTATAACTAATGACATAGGCAATTCTATTAGAGATAGCGGGAGGCATTATGGTAACCACTGTTGATCACCTAGTATTATGCTTTTACATTATCTATTACGTCCACCCTTTTGATTTGACTGACTGTTCTGTTATGTCACATTTGGTTCTACTCTCTTCCAAAAAAGTAATAAGAACTGTGGGAGCAACAAACCCAAAATGTGTAATTGTCATTGTACAAAAGAGAGGAAAAGAAAGTGCTCTAAATGATATAACTGCATGTATATTTAAGTGTATAAAATGGATAATGATATTACTGAGTTTTGTTGGCTCACTGAACAGAACTGTTTGCAGTCTCACTGTTGGAATGTCCACTTTATAAGCTTTAATTTTGTAACTTGAACAATTATTCCTAAAATGACAATATGTAATCCATTAACTAGTGATTTCCTACTGTTTATTTTTTTCTATAAATCTGTATAACTTGTACCCTTAAAAAAAAAAAAAAGAAAAAGGAGTCCTTCCATTGTTGGTGGGAGTGTAGCAATAAAGAATTACAAATAAATATATGAAAAAATGTTCAACATTATTGGTCATTTGAGAGATGCAAATTAAAACCACGCTGCGACTCTATCTCACTCCAGAATCAAGCAATCAACTAATAACAAATACTGGCAGGGCTGAGGGGAAAAAGGAACCCTTCTTCACTGCTAGTGGGACTATAGACTGGTACAACAAGTGTGGAAATCAGTGTGGAGATTCCTCAAAAAATTAGAACTAGAGATTACATTTGAAATGGCTACACCACTTCTTCTTTCCCAAAGAATTAAAAACATCATATCACAGTGATACATGCATACCCATGTTTATAGCAGCACAGTTTGCAATTGAAAAATCTTAGAAACAGCCCAAATGCCCATCAGTCTATGAATGTATAAAAATATGGTGTTTAAAAATACAATACAGTACTACTCTGTCATAAAGAAGGATAAGCTGAGACATTTCTAAGTAAGTGGATGAACCTTGAGACCATACTCCTAAGGGAACTAAATCAGACACACATGTGTAAATATTACATTGTTTCTTTGTTATAAGAAACTGAAAGTACATGTGGGCCAGGCTGACCCCTTCCTGTGAGTCAGCGATGGTTGTGGGCCAGGCCAACCCCTCCCTGTGAGCCAGTCAGTGCATGGGCAAGAAGTGCCAAACTCCCACCTCTCCATAAGCAACTGGCTGATTTATTGGAACACAGGCTGAGATGATAGCCACTAAAGTGAAAAAAACAACTTACTGCCTGTATTGTTTGATTGACTTTGTGTGCCTAAAACATCTAAAGCATCTATTTAGAGGATTACAATATGTAATATAGGAACTATGGGTGATTTCCTTCTGAAGATGTTAGCCATTGCTAATTCCCTATTATTTTGTGTTAAAGTCCTACATTATTTCGTTATTTTGTTTGGTTTAGTTATATCCTGTTTTGTTTGATTATATCTGATGGCAAAGGCAACAATTTCAAAGATAAAAAATATTATGGTAGTCATTGTTGATTTCCTATTATCTTGTTTTCAAGTACTGTATCATTTTCATTGTTTTGCTTTGACTGATTTTATTCTGTTCTGTTTTGTTTGATTTTATTATGTCTGACGGTATGGGCAGCTATTTTGAAGATAACAAGAGACAATATGGTAGCCATTGTTGATTTCCTATTACCTTGTTTTGAAGTGCTGTTATCATTTTGTTTTGATTTTATTCTGTTTTGTTTGGTTTTATTCTCTTTAAAATAAAAAAAATATAGAAACAGAAAGTGTAAATAAGGACCAAAATGTGTAATAGATATTGTGAAACAAGAAACAAATGTTCAAATGGGAAGGGGAACTATAGAGGGAAGGGAAAAAAGGAAAGAAGGGAAAAGAAAAAAACATTAAATGAGGGAAAAATGGAAACACAGCTTTTCTAAATAAGGAAGGGAAGAGGGGTTGAAGGGTGGGGTGGGGAATGGGAAAAAAAGAAACAGCAAGATATATCACGTATAGGTACAAATCTACTGTGATGAATGTGATCATTATGTATATCTAAGATGTACAATAAACTTAATAAACTTTTAAAAAATTAGGTGATTGCTGAGAGCAAAATCCACTGCAACTGTAATATTATAAAGCCCAAACAGTATGTCATTGTTATGCAGCCGTTTCTAGCTTGAGTCACATTCTAATTCTCTCTGAAAACCCACAGCTTATTTTAGAATAGATCCTGTCTATAAACCTTGTCATCTCAAATGGCTTGAGAAGCGACTGGTGGGAGTCTACGAAAAGTAAATTAGCTCCTACCTGTGTAAGGGACTAAAGGTGACCAGAAAATCGGCTTACTTGTGTAATAGGCTTGTGACACTTCCTTCATTTGCCTGCTTGTCCTGGTGGTTAAAATTTCAATTAACGCATCTTCATCTGTTCCAGTGCCCTAAAAAGGAAAAGGAAATCTAATTTTAGAACACTTAAAAAACTTAATTTCATGCCTTTCATTCTTAATGTCATATTTCATACCGAGGAAAGAATCATTTGAGTAAATCAGCCTACAATCTCATACGGCTCTGAAGTCCTCCTCTAACTTCCCATGTATTTCAGTATTAAAATAATATGAGTCATCTGGAGTAAACTGAAATCAAGTGTTCAAGAATATGTCCTATTCTACTGTAAAAATCAACTGAATTCACTCTAAGGAGAAGGAGTAAAAAGGAAAAAGCCTATGACATTAAAGACTAGAAGTGGTATCCCAATGGAATTAACTCAAAAGAGCAGTCAAACTTAACTGTGTTAGAAAGGGCTCCATATCCTCTGAATGAGCCCATGTCTGTATCATGGTACTGCACTGTGTCAGCAAATGTGTGTCCTGGGCCTGGCTGGCTTGTACATCAGTTACCCCTCAACCTTGTTTATTTTGAGGTCACTGAATCACATTATGATTCTAGAGAAAGCGTTAATAATAGGATTTGATCAAATAAGGCCCATGAGGCATATGAGGAGAGACTTAAGTCTGTCTCTCTGTGAGAGGGATTCCTAGTTACCCTAGTATCTCTTTTGTCTTTCTTGTTTAGTAATAGATCCTCAAATTTTAGCTTGGCACTCATCTAATCAAATAAAGGCCATGTTTCTCAGGTCTTTTGACAGCTGCCATCTGGCTCTCAGATGCCCATATCTCTTCCATAGGAAAGAAAATAACACTTATCCCTGCTGGGAGGGCATATCTCTTATGCCTCTGATGTAGACCTTTGTCTTTTCCCTCTTTCCTAGCAATAAATATGTTCAGCACCTACTTCATTTCACACTCTGACCCAGGATCAGAATAAGACTAAGACTGATGAGGTTCCCATCATGGTACAGATTTGCCTTTTAAGTCAGATGAAGAATGATAAATAACTAGACAAAAAAATTTATGGAAAGGATAAAGAAGAAAAAAAGGACAATTTTGTATGGTAATATGTGCAATTAAAAAAAATGAAAGTGGCTCGCCATGTTGGTGGTCCAGGGTGACTGTGAAAATGATTCTCTGCCATCTTGACCCAACAGATCAAGAGGATCAAATCTTCATGCTTACTTTAAGAATACCCATGAAACTGCCTAGGCCATCAAGATTCTGTACATCTAAAAAGCCATAAAGAATCTCAAAGATGCCCCTTTAAAGAAGCCATTCTGACATGACAATGTGGACTTGGCCCAGGCCAAGCAGTGGGACTAGACACAAAGCTAGTGGCTCCAAGAGTGCTGAATTTTTGTCGTGCCCTCTTAAAAACGCACAGAGCACTGCTGTGCTAGAGGATTATGATGCAGATTCTCTACACACTGAACATACCCAGGGGAACAAGGCACCTGTGATGCATGGGGAACTCATGGGGCCTCTGTTCAGCTTAATCCACCTGTGAGTTCCCCTGCCCCCCCAGGACATGATCTTGATCAAATGGGAAACTGTTCTGAACCAGGAAAGCATGTTACATAGATGAAAACAATATCCCAGAAGAAATGAAGAAGCAAAAACTTATGGCTTGGGAACAAGGTCAGGAAAAATAAATGCAAATAAAAATTTTAAAAGCTAAAATTAAAGCTGAGTAAATTAATAGTATCTGGAAGAGAAGCATTCCCGACAGGAGGAGGATCATGTATGAGAAGCTCACAACAGGAATAAGCACTGAATGTTCAAGGAGTAGACAGAGGCCAGTGGAACCATCACACTGAGTGAAGACAGAAGGGTGGGGGTGTGATGGTCGCGGTGTAAGGTGGCTGGTCCAGACTAGAGTCCTCAGTTATTCAACCCAACACTAATGTAAGTGTTTCTGGGAAGGTGCTTTGTCCGATAACAGCTGACACTGAGCAGTGGAGAGTAGATTAGATATTTGCTATACTCTAGGCAGGCCAGGTTCAGCCAGTAGCAAGGCATTAACAGTGGAGTTGAGACTTCCCTGATATGAGATTCTGCCCATAGTGAGAGGCCTCAGCATGCACTGAGTTCCAGTCTTCCTGTCCTGACTGCCTGCCCGCCCTACAGATTTTGGACTTTTTACTTCGTCCCACAATTGTGGAATCAATTCCTCACAATACAGCTCAACATACACCTCCTACCTACTGGTTCTGCTTATCTGGAGGACCCTGACAAACAAAGAATTTTAAAACTTTGCGATAGGAGTCAGATTATGATGGGTGACAAAAGGCACAAAGAGTTTGGGTTTTCATGGTCCAAACCACTGGAAATTTGTGCATGTGAATAATCTCACTATAAAAATAACTTTTTAAAAAAACAACGTAAGTTTGGCTACTGTTGAAGAAAGAATTGAAAATGCACAGAAATGGAGGCACAAGGATCAGTTGTGGCCCAATCAAGATTTGCTCATGACCACAGCAGAACAGCAGCAGTGGGTTTTGATAGAAGTGCACATATTTACAGTGGATTTTGCAATAGAGTTAATGGGTTTGTTCACAGATCTATGAGCCCTAAAAGAAGGCAAAGCAAGAGGTCAGACATAATACAAGGGTCTTGGTTTTTTAGCAATGGGGTCGATGACAGTGCCATTTAATTTCAACAACAAAATTGAGAATCTGGTCATGTAGGAAAATAAATGAAATAAGCATGTGACCAAATTCTTCCAGCCTGGGAACATTTGGGTTTGAGGGTCCACCAGTGCCCCCTATTTCGGACTCAACCCAATATGTTCAGAGCCAGCCAGGACAGCATCCAGGAGCTCCCATGTCTCAGGTGTGCACCGGGAGAGAGGCTGCTACTTTGATGACAGAGCCCAGCCCTCGTCGGCACTGTCTTGTGCTGTGCTCCTACCTTCATGGACTTCTTCAGCTGCTTTGCGTCAAACACTGCTGGGGGAGTCACAAGACCCACCATGAGATGTTTAAAGTGGCCAGAGAGATCACCTTTCAAGTCATCTTTCAGCTCCTGCAACCAAATCCAAGTAGGAAAATGTGAAATTATTTTTATTTCTCTTCCTTTAAAGTCACCTAGTGAAAGACGAACAGTGTATTGAAATTTAACTAAAGCACACCCACCCAAAAGGAAGAAAGGCAAATGTTGCAAGTATTTCTATGGCTATTAATCAGCATTTTATGATTGCCTTCAAAATATTCTGTTTTATGGAGGATTTGTATGTGTGTGTAGTGCTAAGAATGGCAAGCACTCTATCACCGCTCTACAGTCTCAGTCTCATAAAGGATTTTTAGAAAAAAGCTCAAGGGCTGCTTGGATGGGCACCATCATGAGGAAGTGCACATTAAAACGCATTTCCTCTCAATCCCCAGATACGATCATTACATGTTGTATACAAGTACTGATTACACGGAAATATGCACAAATAAAATAATAATTCATAACAATAAAATCAGTGCATTTACTGAGTCTTTGATGCTCTCAATGCTTGAGTTGAAGCAAGGAACGAGGAGGAAGAGCCCCTGAAATTCATGCTCTACTTCCTGTATCTTGCTTCCTGCTGATTCCAATCAGCTATAAAAAGAAAGGGGAAAGGAAGACAGTGTGTATGATGCATGTGTGTGTGGGGTCACTTGTTTGGTAAGAGTCTGGAACTGGGAAACATCAGAAGCCAGTGCCAAATAACAAAAGCAAGGGAAGTCCTAAGTGTGGCAACAGGGGACCATTACTTCTTGACAGTGTCCTTTGGTGCTGACTTCTTACATTATATAAGTGTAATCACTCTCTCCCCTGCAGAAAAGCAAATAGCATAGTTTCTATTTCCAGCACTCAAAGGAGTTACACTAAATAACTTTTCCCTGTGGGTCTGAGGTGGAGGCTGGCAGACTACTTGACTACTAGAATGATACAGACTGACACGACCATGCCACCAGGGCTGCAGGACAAACTCCGAGTCACTACTCAGCTCAATCACCACTGGGCTCTTTCCTCTGTAAATGCTAAATTCACTACCATATGTCCTCAATCCAAGCCTTCACAACGGACTCCTATTTCACACGCTCTCATTAAATCTCACTGTAAGGAGTAGTTACCCTTCACTCTGTCCTCACCTTCTGGAACACTGAAAGGCCAGAGGATCTTTCCAGTTCCCTATGTGTGGGTGTGGCACCTGGTCCAAATGCTTGATAATTCATCCAGCATAAAACATGCCCCCAGGGAGCCACTGTGAGGTCAGCATTTAAAGGTGAGTCAGATAAAACCCCTATTCCTGAGACACTACGCACTCATGGGAACAACAGAACTTTTCAAAGATAAATTTCAGTGCAGTATGATATAGATACTTCCAAAAAGGGAGAGTTACTGTCTGTGGCAGGAGAATATTGGCAGGGTGTGATGCCTCAAATGGCTTCGGATGGGCCTCAGTTCACACAATGGTCTGATTGGTCTCTGTTCCCACCCTTTCCTTTCCACAGTTTGTTATCCACAGTGGCCAACATAGTTGTTTAAAAATATAAACTGTGATATATTATTTCTTTGCTAACAATTTCCTGTGGTTCCCTATCGTACTTAGAATAAAGCCTAAAGTCTTACAAAGAACCAAGACTCCAGCTGGGTACCATGGCACATGTGTATGGCTCCAGCAATTATGAGGCTCAGACAGGAAGATCACTTGATCTTAGAAATTCTAGACAGTCCTGGGCAACATAGTGAGACCTTATTTAAAAATAAACAAAGAAAATGTTTTGTCACTGGGCATGGTGACACATGCTTTTAGTCCCAGCAGCCTGAGGTCTTCAGAGAGCAAAGCTGGAAGATCACTTGAGCCAGTGTATGGCTTGTGTCTAGATGTCCCCCCAAAGCCACATGTGGTCATAGGTGGCTTTTCCTGTGTGCAGGTAGCTAGATGTAGAGTGGCTACATCTAGAGAGCATGATGTTGGAATCAATGCTGGGATTAAGGCTGACCCATCCTTGTCAAGAGTGCTACTGCAGCCTGGGTGGGATATAAGGGACAGAAAGAGGATCGATCACTTGTCACTTGCTGCCTTCTGCCTCTGTTTATCCTCTGTACTGCTCTCTGCCATGGAGCCAGCCAACTATGAACTGAAACCTCTACAAACTGTGAGTGAAATAAATCTTTCCTCCTTTAACTTTGGGTGTCAGGTATTTTGTCTCAGAATGAGAAAAGTAACCAAGACAGCTGGCCTGTAGAACACAGTGAAATCTCATCTCAAAGCAAAACAAAAAAACAAACAAAAAAGAAAAACCTCAGAAGAACCAAGGCCTGACAGACTCAGAACCTCTCTGCAGCATCATCTCTGTCCCCTGGCCCCTGTCAGCCTGACCCTCCAACTCTACTGAATTCTGTCTCTCTAGCATTCCCAGATCATGTCTGCTGCAGGTTCTTGTATTTGCTGTTCTCTCTTCCTGAAAAGCTCTTCCTACTGCAGGCCAACCAGTGCAGTCTCCATCCTGCTATGTCTCGGTAAGAGTAAAGCAGGAACTGCGCACTGGCATTTCTTTATTCCCTGTCTGAGGGAGACAGTTACCAGTCAGTCCTCTTCCATCACAGCACCCATTTTAATTTTTTCATAAGACTTACTAACATCTAAACTTATCTTATTTACTTGGTTAGTACTTTTCTAATAGAATATGAGCTCACAAAAGACAGAAGGGCCTGCTTTCCATACGGTTATATCCCTCATGTCTAGAAGACCCCAAAATAGGTGGACTCAACCAACAGGTATTGAACAAATAAACTGTGCAGCAACAACCAAGCCTTACTAGTCCTGATATAAGCCTGGTACTTACTTTTTATTGTTTGAATGAAGAAAGTCTACAACTATATAAATATTTTAAAATTAGAGGAGAATTTAAAGATCATTTAAGACAGATTCTGTTGGATTACTGATTGGATGCTCCTGTTTCATGGGGCTTTGGGGCCATGGGGACCATGGGGAATGTGACAGCAGCCTTCACCACTGGAGACCAGAATTGCCCCATCCCATTTACAGTAACAATGTCTCCACCTAAGCCACAAATGCTGTGAGGAATGAGGTCACTCCTGGCTAAAATGGCTGGTGTCAGACAATCCTCTTCATTCCATAGATGAAGAACCTGAGGCATCAGTGCTATTCAGCCAGTTAATGACCAAACCAGGACTCAGGTCCCAAGTTCTTGATGGGATGCTGCCTTTTCCCTGCCGTGTTCATCACGCTGTACCTTCTCGTAGGCCGTTAGATACTCCTTCACAATCAGCTGCCGCTGTGCATTCGACCTCTCAGTCAGAATGTTGATGAGCGAATCCTCATTGGTTCCTGAGTGAAACAGAAATTATTTTACTCACCATCAACTCTGAGACACTCAATATCAATCTTTAACTGAAGAAAAATGATCAATGCAATTGAAATAACTGCAGAGTAAAACATTTTACTTTTTAACTTCACACTTCCTATCAGGCCAGAATCTTTGCTTTTTTTCTTTTCTGGCTTCTGGAAAAAAACTTTATGTGGATAGTCAAGAGAGAAGAAAATAACCACTGTCAATCACTGTCCAGTCCTGTCTGTAGATGAGGCACAGAGGAGAGTGTGATGAACCTTCTGCTTCACCCAGAGGAGGGTCAGTAACTGTTACCACCTTGAAGCTCTCATGCCCATGCTGGGCAGCCAAATCTTTCTCCTTCAGAGAACAGGAGTTGCTGACATTTATTGAGAAGATATCAGGAATCAGGAACTCTTTCGTTCTTTGTCACAGCAGACAGTCACAGTGCTCTGTGCATAGCTATGACCATGCTGTCTTAAAGATGAAGCCACCAACACTCAGAAAGCTGAAGTAAGCCGAAGTCACACAGCTGCTCAGTGGTGCAGCAAGAATTCTGACACAAATCTCAGATCCTGAAACACATATTTCTATCTCTGGTCTGCAACTCTCTTAAGCATTTCACATCCATATCCTGAACAACCTGTTTTTAAGCACAGGGTAACATCACCCCAATGCCCACAGGCCACCGCTTTCTCAGTAATTATGATGCAGTGGGAAGTTCTGTCCACCTCATTTGCTGCAGAGGACTGTAGTGGGGTCAGAAGCTCACAGAGCTGGCGTAGGAGTCTCAGGCAGGCAGGGCCTGTGTGGTGTAAAGATCAATTTTAACTTGAGGCTCCATTTCCCTCTGTTGAGGTGACTCAAGTACACTTTGCCTGCATGTGTCCATGCAGAGGTGCCTACATCCATGAAGGAGCAAGAGAATCTGTCGGCTTGGTTCTCTGCTGGTATCCCAAGGACAGATGCCACCCTCTGCTTCCAGTCTTAAATATTTCTACACAGTTAACAGGATTAGACTAATGCCTGTTTGTGTCCTGAGACTTTAATCACCAACCTGACCACTGATGGCATCTGTCCCAGTGTACAATGAACACTGCCAACTGCATACATCTTAAACCTAGAAATCTCCATTGTATTTTCTTCCCAACCTGTTACTCCACGTTCCCTCATCAATGACAATGCTGTGCCTACAGTCACCCAATAAAAAGTCCTGGGAGCCACCCTAGACTCCTTCTTCTTTTTCTTCCATTGTGACAACAGCCTGTCTCTCTTAATTTAGTTCCTGTTGATGCTGTGCCTTTAGCATATTCTATCTACATAACTTTAATAGCCATCTAACTTGACCCCCACATAATTCACCCCATACACCACTGCATAAGAACACATTTTTTTTATTTTTTTGAGACAGAATTTCATTGCATAGTTCAGGCTGGCCCTGAATGCACTAGGGATATCCCAGATGGCTCCAAACTTGTAATCAGCCTCCCAAGTGATGGTATTACAGGCATGTGCTACCATATCCAGCCTATGTCCATTTTTGTTTGTTTGTTTCTTTTGGTACTGGCAATCTAACTCAGGACTTTTTGCTGGCCAAGCAGGTGCTTATGCTGCTGAATTATAGCCCTGGCTTCCTATATCCATTTTTTAAGAAATTAATCTGATCATGTCAGTCTTTTGACCAAAATACTAGCATTTCTCCATTACCTTCAGAATGCAGTTGAAATCCTTAGCTCTTATCCGGGTCACTGCCTGATGTCTCTGCTCTCATTTGCTGTTCCTTCTCTGCATCTGCATACCCTCTGCACTGAGTTCCAACACCGTTCACTACTCAGATGTGTAGAGTCTGTGTATCTGCCAGTTTCTTATCTCCTAATTTTAACATGCTCAAGATCAATAGCTAACCTCAACAATCCTGTGGTTTGAGGACTGCAGCTGAGACAGTCCCAGTTCAAATGCCATCAAGACACCCACTTTTACCAAAGTGTTCAAAAAATAATCTCAAGAGTGTCCTGCAAGTCACACTGCAGAATTTTAGAAACATAATATCAAAAGAGATAGGCAATAGAATTTACAGATAATTAATCTGTTCAATTTGACACTAACCTCAAAAAACAGTCTATTCAACACTGGATAGCAAAGATATAAATAAACAAATAACTTTCATTTAACAATGGAAAAAAACTCTATCAGGTAAAATAACACACTACTACTTGATAGAAGTCCTAAGAGGGTACTTTATAGAATTTGACAAACTAATCCTAAAATTTACAGAGGACACAGAACCAAGAAAAATTTGCCCTATACCATGTGTTGTCATAAAATTATAGTACAGTAACCGTGACAATGTGGTATTTGGACAAGGAGAGGCAAACAGACAAATGGAACACAGTGGAGGACAGAAAAATAAGGAGGCAGAAAATAGAGGGGCATTACAAATTAGCATGAAAATGACGAGCTCTTCAGTAAATTATGCCGAAACAATTAAATATCTACATGGGATTAAATAATATTAGATATTCTTAAATATAAATATAAATATTAATTCCATGTAGAATAAAGATCACAATACAAAAAGTAAAATTTTTAAACTTTGGAGAAAAATGCAGGAAAATATCCTCATAATCTCATTACAAAAAGATGTAAAGATATAATAAGCATAAATTCTAGCAAAAAACATTGGTTAACTCAACATCACTAAAACTTAAAGCAATGAAATAAAGGTTATTATAATCAATGTTAAAAGTTACAGACTTAGAGAAGGTATTTTTATAGCATGCAATTTTTTAAAAAACAAAGATTATACTCAGACATTATAAAAATATTCTGCTAATTATGAGGATGATAACCCATCTGAAAAATGGATAAAATACATAAAGTAATATATGAAAGAGGGAGCAAATAAGCCAGTGAGAATGGTAACTGAGGATAGAGAAGAGGGAGGAAACAAACATACACTGAGACACAATTCTAGACACAGTCAATGGGGAAAACTAAGTAGTATCATGGAATATGGAACAAGCAAAAGGCTCATACATTGATAGAAGGAATGATAATTTCTGTACTTGTTGCTCCCTTATTCAGGGAGCAATTTGGCAAAGTTTCTAATTAATCTGAAAATAAGCATCCCCTTTTACCTGGAAATTCCAATTCTTTTCATGTTCTAGAGAAATGCAAGCCAATGTGCACAATGAAACATAAGAAATATTCATTACAGTCTTTTTATACTGTAATAGAAAAGAACTGTAGGTGATTTAAATCCCATCAATATTTCTACTTTATGATACAGTATGCAATAGACTACTATGTAGTTAAAATTAATGAACTACAGCTAACATACCAATGTAGACAAATTTCAAATATACCATGTTAAGGGATTAAAAAAAAAAAAGAAAAAGAATGTATACAGCACAAACCTATTTTTTTACTGGTTAAGGCCATACAAAACAATTTGTACATACATATGTAGTCATGACATTGAGAGTTACATGAGAATAAATTCTAATTTAGGATGTTGATCATCCTTAGGCAATGGAGCAGGAATGAAATTCAGGAAGAATCAACAGGGACTGTATCTCAATGATGGACGACGATGATAACGATGACTACGACGATGATGGTGATTGTTACTGTTAGCAGCCCAGAGGTAGGAGTTTTTCATACCAAGTGAATACTGCAAATGTTAGGATTTAAAACCAGGTTCTCTATGCTTTTCCTCCTTGTTTTGCATTTTTAAAAAATACTTAACAATTTCTTTAATGGAATTCTCTAATGGCAAACTGAACTGGTACTTTTAGACCATAACTTTCCTGATTTTTTTTTTTTTTTTTTTTGAGAAACAGTCTCACTACCACTATACAATTGAGGCTGGCCTTGAGCTCACTTTGTAGCTCATGCTAATCTCAAACTCACAATGCTCCTCCTGCCTCAGCCTCTCAAGTGCTGGGACTAAAAGCATGTGCCACCACACTTGGCTCCTGAATTGTTTAAAAATAAGATGGGAATTAATTGCAAAACATACCAATTCCTCTGATTGCCTTACGGATTGCTTCGGCATCCACAGATGGGCTAAAGCCTGGATAATCTTTTATTGTCCCTCGGTGTCCAACCTAAAAGGAGACATTTGAAAGTGCCACTAGATCAAAATGACATGTTTATTTACATTGCATATGCATATGATGGGAAACACAGACCAGCACACCTTCTTACATCTCAGGCATGGGTCAAGAATCTCCTTCAACCTGCAGGCAATATGACATCTATCACAGGTATCACGAGGCCTCTCTTTTTCTCTTGTATAACAAATCACAGATATGAAACACTGCTTCATCAGAGCAACAAATTATGTCAGACCTAGAGACACTGTACAGTATTTGCCTTAAAGCAGCCCCTGCATAAAAACAATGAGAAAGCAGAAATTTCCATGTTCTCTTTGTTTTCAAGTGACAACTCAGAGTCCTGCAGTACATCACATACAGAAGCAGTGGTAGTATATGGGCTTCAAATGTTTGAACTAATGTTGATCCCTGTTCTTGGGGAGCCCTGCACTCAAGGATCCATAAATGAAAACCCTCTTTGGATCGTCCATTATGTCTGCTTTGTTTAACAGATGTGCAATTGCAGGTGGTAAAGTCCCTTCTCAAGACTCCACTGACATCAGAGCTTTTCAGGAATGGCATGAAAATAAAAATGCCACGCTACTCAATTTAAGCACATAAATCAGAAACACATCAGTAGCCTGGGAAAGACCATATTACTGGAAGACTAATGCATTCTAAAACTGCTTAAGAGAAGACAGAAGTACAACCAGGAAGACACTGTGAAAAATTAAACATAAAATTATGTGGTGAAGCTTTGAATATAAATCCGTATAGTTCATGTTTTATTTTTAAACTGGGTTTTCCTATACTGTTACCAAGTACTATTTATTGGCTCTGCTGTCTTATATTAAATACGACTTCATTTAGGCTCTTTTGAAGTGTTTAATATTTTCATGAAAAGACATTATCTTGTTACATTAAAGTGAATGGAAAATTAATGTTGTGGCACAGCAAAACATTATAATGTGTTGATTCAATGGATCAGACTGAACAATTTGTTTCAATATAGTCCATCATTGTTTAATTTTAAAGCATCTGAAATAAAGTTCTGAATCTATAAGTAAATGACAAGTTAAAAACTAGCTGTGGATGTGCTGAATCTAAACATAATCACTCAAGCACAGTCTCTGGTGAGTTCTCTATTCTCAGGACTTCATGTTTTATAGATTGACAGAGCTCACAGGCAGCCTGTTTTTCTTCCAGAGTCCCCTTCGAGGATTTGTATGCTTTGGGGGTTAACTCTGATACACATGGCACCCCTGCGATATAAGAAGAAACTGTGTCACATACATGGCATCAACAGTTAAGCAGACTGCAGAGTTGGCTCAGGCCACAGAGCGAGTCAGGTGGCAGAATCTGAACTTGAATGCAGTCTGGACTCTTCTGATCCATCCTGTTTTCCAAAATGCCACTTTTGTACCACGTAGGCTTTCAAATACACAAGACCAAGCACCCCCCTACTGGGTCACATCCCTAGACACCAACGATAGATTCTGTGTTTAAGAAGCTGCCCGAGTGACTTTCTATGGGACAGTCACACGATTGTTTCCTAACACAAGAAAAAAACCATGGTTGAGTCCTATGTAACAGTTTGTCAATTATGTAAACTCAATTTTGCATTCGAGCTGTGACCTTTGCATCACTCTTTACTGCCTACGTATGAAAATATGCAAAAACTCCAATTGCAAAATTAGAGGATGAAATTTCTAAACCACTGTGAAACTTCAGTAAGAATTAAATGGGGAGTAATAACTTGTTTAATTAAAAAAATAAACTACACACACACATAAACACATCAACTTGAAGGGGGCATGGGGAATTATTTTATTTATTTGCAGTGCTGGGGATCAAAACCAGGGTCTAAAGCATTACAGACAAGTGCTCTAAAACAGAGCTATATCCCCAGCCCAGGATATGGGGATTGTGAGGTTGAATTCTAGTGAAATATTTAGAACTGATTTAGTTACTTAAATGGACAGTATGACATCATTTATTTGATTGTAAACACAGTTGCTCAGATATTAAAAAACATTTATATAACTTGAAAAACACCAAAAAATAAATGAAATCTTTTCTCTAGTGTAAGCCAAGTGAACAGAGTACCTTATAAATAATTTATCTGATTTTTACATTGACTTTTGTAAGGTAGTTTTTTTTTTGTTTTTTTGAGACAGGGTCTTGTTACATAGTTCAGGCTGTCCTGGAATTTTCAGTGATTCTCCTGCCCGTCTCTCCAGTGCTGGGGTTACAGGAGTGTGGCACCCAGCAATGAAGTGGATCTTATTATTTCCACTTAAAAGTAGAAAAAACACAGTCAGGCATCCTATCATCCCAACTCTGAGGGAGGAGGACCCAAAATTAGAGTCTTGCCTGGGAAATTTAGCAAGACTTGTCTCAAACAGAACAAAGCAAACAAAACAACACAACTAAACTATATAAAGATCTAGGAATATAGCTCCGTGGTAGAGCACCCCTGGGGTTCAATCTGCAGTACTAGAAAAAAGAAGATGATGAAGGAGGGGGAGAAGGAGGATGAGGAACTCAAATTCGGAGATATTCCTTGCTTACTAGAACTCTCTAAGAATGACAGCCTCAAAATTTAAACCTACTAGGGGCTGGGGGTTTAGCTCAGCGGCATAAGCACCTGCCTTGCAAGCAGACGGTCGTGAGTTCGATCCCCGGTACCGATAAAAATGAAAAAAAAAATTTAAACCTACTTCCTTCTGACTAAAATGCCCAACTGCTTTACACCACGTCACTTTTGCCAGCTATAGTAACAGTTTCAAAGTGTGGCTCCTGGATCACCCCTGCCCCTTAGAACGACCCAGAGTTTAGCAAAAATGAACTCTTAGGCCTCGCCTCATACTTGCGGAATCAGCCACTTTGGGGTTGAGGCTCACAATCTATTTCACAAGCCCTGGGAGTGGCAAGAGGATGGCAAGTTTGAAGCCAAAAAGTACAAGTTAATCAGACCCTGTTAAAAAAAAAAAAAAAAAAAAAAAGTTTAAAAGGCCGAGTAAGTAGCTCAGCAGTAGAGTCCCCCAGGTTCAATCCCCAGTGCCACCACTAATGAATTAATGAATTAATTAAAAAAAAGAACCGCTGCCCATTGCATCATTACACTCTAAGCTGCCTAGAAAACCAAAGCCAAAATGAGCAAACAAGTTACGGGTTCTTTTATGGATGTGGAAGATAAAGCATTTGATGAGCTCATCGTTTCAGGAATGCTGGCTTTTGTACAAACAAAGCTGTGCACCCAGCCTCCTTGCAGGGAATGCCTTGCCGTTTAAATTACTAATCAGTACTCGGCTAAGGTTATTTCCAGTAACCCTGATATCCTAACAGGGTGTCAGTGCCAGTGGAGGGCACTGCAGGGACATTTGCCTGGTACAGAGCCCCTGGGGTTCACTCTGCAGTACTGGAAAAAAGATGAAGGAGGGGAGGAGCAGAAGGAGGCAGAGGAGAAAATCTCATAGAATTTGCTGAAGCTTTTTTTGTTTAGCCCTGTTTAATTAGATTTCCTTCCATACCCCTTAGACATATTAGCTGTTCTCCTTTTTCTAAGTGATCTTCAGTTGCCTCTAAAAGGAAAATAACACTGAAAACCAGTTGGAAAGGTAAAGCAGGAATGTCCAGGGAAAGCAGAAAAACAGTTTCTCTTAAGAGGACAGCTGCTGAGACTTACCACATGTCAACAACTGTGCTAAGAACATTGCCTGCCTTACCTCATTCAGTCCTAATAATAAACAGGTCTGGTCCACACAAGAAACTTGCCCAGGTTCACACAGCTGTTAATGGTCTATCCCAGCAGTCTTGACTCCTAATTACTAGCCAAGGCAGCATCTCATTTGAACCATCTTCTTCATGACAATGTAATTTTCCCTGACCATCTAAAACTACCACTTAGAGGTCAGTCACGGTACACAATACCTTAAAGTCACTGATCTGGCCAAGATACCTGTCTGCTGCTACCAAGAGGTCATTCTGTCCTTGACCTATACAACAGAGCTGTACACATTGCTTCATGTAAAATACACTGGTTTTATAAAAAGTTAAACACTGATAGTCAAAAAGGCTGAATAAGAGAAAGGCACTGATTCTATTGATATAAAACATTTAAAGATAACTGTTCCACAGTAAGAACAGCAGCAGCTGCAGGGACAATCTGAAAGCGAGGCAAATCCCTATTACTTCTTGTCACTTCATAAACCCCTGGGCGAAGGCCAGATTCAATTAAAGACTTCAAATCAAAGCCTCAGAAACACCTCCAGGCCCACCAGCTCTCTCTGCTCATCATCAAAACCCTCTTTTGGGTCCTGAAACTATGATAGGAAATGGAATCAACTACAAAAATAAAGCAATCAAAACTAAAAACTAAGATTCCACGTTCAGTTCTTCAAGTAAGAAGCAGTCTTCAAAACCAAAAGCATTTTACTGTAAAAGGTCCCCAAATGAAATATAGTGAAGTGGGCAGTACAGGTGGAACTGTCTCCTCCCAAAAGGGGGGTGCTGAAGCCCTAACCCATGGCACTGGAATGTGAGCTGCTTTCCATACAAGACTATGCAGGTGTGATTGGGTGAGGTAACAAGACATTGTGTACACTGGGGAGCTCACCCGAAGTGACTGGTGCTTTTAGGAGGAGACAGTCCCGAAAAGACACAGGTGTGCTGGGAGAATGCAATGTAACAAGAAAGCAAGAGACTACAGCTTTGCAACTCAAGCTAGAACACCAAAGTCGCTCAGTGGAGGAGACGAATCACTTCCCCACAAAAGAAGAAATCTTGAATTGGAGATGATTAAGAAGTGGGAAAGCTCTCCGTTCTCCCTCTTGACCTAAAAACAGGACATCATTTACAAAGACGAAAGGTACCTGTCCCCTTAGGAATACAGCTCAAGAGCACAGCACCCTAGAGATAAACCTGGATTGGCAAGCTTTACTAACTGCCCTTCACTGGCCTTCCCTTGTCCAAACCGCTGCCTGTACATATTCAACTCCTTCGTTTTCCTT